GTTGGGCTGCGGCCCCTGCGCTGCGTCATGTGTTGAGCTGCGGCTCCCGCGCTGCGTCATGTGTTGGGCTGCGGCTCCTGTGCTGCGTCTTATGTTGGGCTGCGGCTCCTGCGCTGCATCAGGTGTTGAGCTGCGGCTCCTGCGCTGCGTCATGTGTCGAGCTGCGGCTCCCGCGCTGCGTCATGTGTTGGGCTGCGGCTCCCGCGCTGCTTCATGTGTCGAGCTGCGGCTCCTGCATTGCGTCAGGTATTGAGCTGCGGCTCCCGCGTTGCGTCAGATGTTGGACTGCGACCCTCATGTGTGCGTCGACGCGGTGCCCGCCGCGCGGCACTAGCGCGCTCTAGCGGTGACGCGGCGAGACAGTCGGCAGCGCAGCGCAGCGGCTCGGGCCAGGGGCTGCGACTGCCAGCTGGAAGTAGCTCTACTATGCTGCTACACGAGAATTAAACGCAGATGAATTGCAGTCATATGCATAACGGGTGAAAATGAATGTTTATTAGTCATTTGTAATACGGAGAAAATTGACCTTTTTAAGCGAAAATGCATATTCACACCGTAATATATGGACATTTGATGATTCATCGGTCTGGTGCAACCAACAAACATTGTTGCCGCAGGTGTCGACGATTTTACTCCCAACAGACGCCATAATTTAACAGCACTATGTAGCCAGCGCGCGTGGCGCATGATTCGTGACTGCACTGAAGTAGCGACGCGCAAACATTTTGGTGGCGTAAGTTCACGCACACATGCTCAACTAGGGCCACATCACCTCTCTCAACATTCCCAGATAGACGTTGTCATTTCGTTAATATTGTCTGATTAAGCCAGTGGATTATTCTTCTCTCTTGGATAACTTACGCTCAGTACGACACCTTCTGGGTCTCCTTGACCCTGCACTCCATCTCCGCTTTTGGGTCACGAGGGGCCCAGTATCGTTTATTTTGCTTGATTGGCACGTGGTTTTACACAGCCATCTGTCATCACTCCATATCACCTGCAAGGAAATGTTCCAACCCATGAAGCTGATGGAGGTGGCCATTGGCCAAATTGTTCCTTCTCCCTCCTCTGCCCGTCTGAAATGAGACCCGCCGTGCGAGGTGGACATCGGTATCAGCCAAGCCGTTTTTCCACCACCTGCCAGACTGTGGAGACGAAAATGCGGGGAGCCTTTGGCACCTGTCACAGGAAAGCGGACAAACTCATTTCCGTAAAGGTGTCCCAGAACCGTTTTATGATCTGCACGGGGTCGTGGCAGGCAGTGACCCCTCCCCCACAAATGGCACAGCGGTCTGTTCCTGACCCAGGGTGGTGAATTGGATCGCCAACCGATTAAATGCGCCGATGCCCGGAGCGTTGCATGGATGAGGCTTAAATCTCATCCTATACCACCCTTTTGCCACAACAGAGCTTCGGACTGTTCTAAATGGCATGGCAATCAAGGCCTATTGCTGCTTGATAAGGGGCGTTGCGCGGGGCTCGGCGAGACAGACATCTCAATATCGTTTGGCTTAATTAGATTCCGGAATTTAAGTGGAGTGATGATTCCATAACTGAAGTAGAGTGATAACTTCATAAGTGAAGTGGTGATGGGGAATTGCCTGCCGAGCCCCTTGATATTGTTGCTGTTGTTATTTTACTGGCCACGACCATTTCTTCACGAAGCCCTTTCTGTATAACCGGTGTCCAAGCACGGCACCTCATGACCACCTTGCGTTATGAAGGTGCGGCATCTGCTTCGGTCATAGATGCCCCGTGATAAGAATATGATTTGCATAGATAAAACAGAAGAAATGGGGCTTAATCCTCGGAGAAAAACCAGGGGAACGGAGATATAATGTGTTGATATTTCGGCAACATGTCTTTATCGAAACGAATAGCAGGAGCGAAGTAACTTCTGTTATTCGTTTCGTTCAAGGCATCCTGCCGAAATATCAACATATTTATATCTTCATCTCTTTCTTTTCTCGGAGGAATGAGTCTTTTGCTTCTGTTTTACCCATGTGAATAATGTTCCTCTCAAATGCACTTGACAACTTATGTAAACTATGATTTGCACGCATGAAACAGATATATTATAAAATATTCCATATTCCACGCAAGAATATGCGGTTTCCTATGAAACAAACGTACCATGTCTACACATTAAGATCAACCTTGCGAGCCATTCATTCTGGAAACAGCCGGTAGATCTGGTGCGACCCAGAGGGACATGCAATAAGGGCTAGCCCGGGTAATGTCCTAGGATGAGGTCGTTTCCAGAGTGAATGACCTTAACACGGCTCTTGGGACTCTTGCCGCGACACCATCCGGGAGGTATTGGTCGTCTACCCATTTTTCTGAGGACAGGATCGATACTAGAATTATTTTTAAACGTAAGAGTTGTCTCAAGCAATGAAAGACGCAGTCAGGGGTGGTGATTTTTTGTCGCCGACCGAACTTCTGCGCACAAAATTGTCGCCAGCAGTGTAACGCGACACCATACGCCAAGAAATGGCAAGGACGTCCATGCCCAGCAGCGTAGCAGCTCGGGTGTCATATGTGTTTTTTCAGAAAGCCATGAACTGCACACGGGCTTAATGCGGGTTACTACGCGCTTTGAGTGCACAAGATTTCTGCGCTGTGTAGCCTTTCAGACACCAAGTGGCAGGCGAATGACAAGCTGAGCGACGCGCGGCTCCCTGGCAAACGACACCTCCGTCCGGACCACTTCGATTTCGTTTTAACTTCAGCGCGCGATGGAAGGCGTCAGCGGCCGTTATACGTTTATTTTACACACAGCATACACCTACGGCTAGCACATGTTGGCCCACTCGCAGGTGGGTCGCTGGCGACACATCGGCGGCCCGACACAGCGCCACGGCCGCCGCGCCGTTGCCGCGGACGGCAGAGGCGGCGGCCTGGCGGGGCTCGGGCACACTCCCCATGTGCGGAGCCCCGCCTGGCCCCGCGCGCGAAGCGCCGTCCCGGCTCGGCCGCGCCGGAGCCCGCGGCTGCCGCCGGACCGCCGGGCGCCCGGGCTGGGACAGGCCGCCGCTCGCGCAGGAGCCCGCGGCTGCCGCCGGACCGCCGGGCGCCCGGGCCGGGACAGGCCGTCGTCCGCGCAGGATCCCGCGGCTGCCGCCGGACCGCCGGGCGGCCGGACCGGGACGGGCCGTCGCTCGCGCAGGATCCCGCGGCGGCCGCCTTACGGCCGGGCCGGGACAGGCCGTCGCCCGCGCAGGATCCCGCGGCTGCCGCCGGACCGCGGCACAGCCGGGCCGGCACAGGCCGTCGCTCGCTCAAGAGCCCGCGGCGGCCGTCATACGGCCGGGCCGGGACAGGCCGTCGCTCGCGCAGGAGCCCGCGGCTGCCGCCTGGGCGCCGCACGGCCGGGCCGGGACAGACCGTCAGCAGACAGCTGCCGGCTCCGTCCGGAGGTACACTAACGGGTTTTAGAGAACATTTGGATACGTGCCTTGGTAATTGGCTGTGTGTTTGAGTGCAGCAAACAGAACTGAACGCTCCGATTAGCTGCAGTGAGCTGACAAACTGCCCAATGAAGTGTGGCAGTGAGAGCGGAGCGGAGCGGAAGCGAGCACATGATCTAATTATGATCATCGGAGAGGAGCACCGGGGTAGGCATGTAAGCAAACATTGAACAGACCTGGTGCAATTGGGCACCCGAACGCCTCGCAGACTTTGAGCCGTGGTGTGATGCATTTTCGTGCTGAACAAGTTTAGTTGACTACAGAGCGCAAATCGGTAATAGATGCCCTTACTATAACATGCTCCGCCAGTTCAGTTCGCAATCCTTTGTCCTCTTTGACTATGGGTTTTAGAAAGACACTAAGCGAATTCGTCATTGTGTGCACAGAACGCTACACGTACGTGGCCTGCCCGCTATTGAGGCTGTTCAATGGCACAGCATGATTACCAATGATCCGTCAGGCCTCGTGTTCTATACGACATAAATAACTATTCCATGACCACCTATATAAACCGGATAATTTCACAATGACTTGGTCGCGCGGTGTACGGAAGTTAACATTCATAATATTGATATTGCGGCATGTTCCCTTTATATCCTTGTGTCCTTCCATCATAAACGAAGTATTTAGGACGCATGATGACGGCAAATAGCAGCCAATGTTCTATACCAAAACAATGGCACGTGGCAGTATGTGGAGAAGAGATAGTTAACCTTCACTAACAACCAACGCCGGAGGAGAGCCTGTCGTCGCTCGCGCAGCGACAACTGCGTCCGCGTGCAGTGATCAGAGGCGGTCATATACATAGCAAGAGATGCGACAGTCCTCTGCCTCGTCGCGAAACGCTCGCAGCACCAACAATAAGAGAAAAGGCCAGCGACAGTCGGTAAGACGTGGCCACGTGACAAAATGGTGGTCAGGCCGGACAAACAGGTGAATAGGGGCTCCTACTTGGCAGGCCTCGAATCCAAAACGACGCAACGTCATTCACTAAGCTGGGCTTACGTTTGATTACGGTACCAGAGCAAACAACAAAGGCTTTCTCTTGCCGGTCAGTGGAGGGCTGAATACAAAGTGGGGCATATCTACATGATTGAAGTCCAATATCGGCATAGTGGTGGCCACCCCTCGCCACTTAATATGATTGGCTTCGCCATAGAGCACTGCCATAGCTGAATTTGCATTTATGTTTCGGTTCTCAAGTCGAGTTACCGCAAGCCAAGCGGGCAAAAGTCTTTTGTCGCTAAATGGACTGCAAATACTGAGGTTGCGCGGTATTATATTAAAACAAGACTGACAGTAAAAACTACGACAGAGCTGGAAAGGTGGGGAAGGAAAAAGGATTTATGTATAAGTACCTATTGCGCAAGGCCAGAGAGTCCAATATTCGACGTAACTGCAGGCGGACACCGCCCTACCGCGCACCCCAGCCATATCTGTCGAACCTGCCAGCGGACGACACGACTAGAAGCAGCCCCGCTCGCCCACCCCTCACAAGAGAAAAAGACATCGACGGCCGAGGCTGCCTCACAGGTCTGCACATCATATCCAACAAAGACAACACCAAACGTCAACGGGGGACGCGAGGCGGCCGCTGCCATGAAGCATATTCGATTAACGGGCACCACCGCAGGGTTCCTGGCTTGAGCCGCCTGCGTTATCGTCATCAGCGTCCACATTTCCCCGGCGGGTAACCACACGTGACCGTTCCTGTCGCTCACAGGCGCACGCGAGGCGCGCTGCGTACCGACACCGCGTCTGGCGAGGCGCACTGTGCATACTGTGACAACTGTGATAACTGATAACGTTCAGCGCAGCACGACACGGAGAACATTCAGGGCTCATGATCTTCTCTCAGCGCACAATTCGTCAGTCAGGTTAATGGGGACGGGAAGCGAAGCAATGGGATCACGTTGCCCATCTAGGGGTGAGTTAAGCCCCGAGTTAGAGGGAGAAACATAGCGATTCCCCAGAGTATTCAGGCTCTATTTCTCCCCCGAAGATCGAGCCGTCGCTTCACTGTCATTCAAGACCATTCCACCTCACGGTGTGCAACCCGGGATATCCACCGTCCGTGCCTCCGCCACATCACAGAGAAAATGACGTATTGGTGATTCTGCCTTTTTCCATCGAGGCAGACGCGTCACCCGGCATTCGTTCGTCGCAGAGCGGTGGTCTCTGATATTGAGCCATCAGAAGCAGCAGCAATCTCAGACCTCAGTTCACTACAGCGAGCGGCGGCCACAGGCCTCGCTGCATCGCAGTGAGCGGCGATGTCAAATCTGAGCCCAACAAAGACGGCGGAGAGCTCAGATCTCAGTTCAACCCAATGGGCGGCGGTCTCAGATCTCGGTTCAACCGGAGGGTGGCGGTCTCAGATCTCGGTCTCGCCTTGCGGCTGGCAGCCCGGCCAGCTGCTGGCAGCGTTGGCAGCTGCCGGGCTCGTCTCCCTGCAGCTGGTGGTCCACTTCTGCTGTCGGCAACACAGCCGGTCGGCCTGTGACACGAACATGGTTGACGTGCGACACGAGTTCTTGGGAGACCACCGGTTGCTGCTCCGCATCGCCATTACCCGGTAGTACTTCTTCTTGATGGCTATGCGCACCTCCGAATTCAGGAAACAATACAGGATCGAGACGAATATTCCCTGAAAGACAGCGCAAACAGTTAACCCAACGATGAAACGTACGTTTAGGAATCTGAAGCGAATCAAAGAGCTTTCATGAGGATTAGAGGGATCTCGCTTATTAGTACGTCTTCTTCCACCCACTCACGTCGTTGAGAGTTTTCTTGTGCTTAAAAGCAACATCGCAATAGGGGTTTGTAGTCATTTTCGCAGTTTTACATTAATCCCAGGTAAACATGCTGAAACCTAATTGCATCATTATTACAGTCACTCTGTTTGATGTGGCCGCAGTCATTTGAGTTGTCTAGATTCATTTATTACCGTCTTCCGTCTCAATCCATTCCCTGTGAGCTGCGGTCAAGTACATCATTGGCGCGCTCAACCTGAAGTTGTTGAGGAAAAGTTGTGATGCACTCGTAATAACACCTAATTCGGCCTAATTGGTCAAAGTTTCTCCGCCTTGTTCGCTTTGTTTACAGCAGAGACCGGCATTCAGCTGCCGCTGGCATAACGCGGCAAAGAGCAGTCTGCCAGAGCGAACTTCGCGCCACGGACGCTGGTTGACGGAAAAGACAGGAGGCCGGAGTGGCCATTAGAGTTAGGATGCATTGAAACTCAACAGCCCATGCATGACGGCAAAGAACTCGTGCACAAAGGCATGGCCTTTCGATGTTAAGATTCTACTCAATGTGCGACTTCTAAAAGAAAGTAACACGCGAGTGACACGTAAGCACAACGTCATACCGCAATTGTTGCTTTAGCTGTTGCAGGCTTATTTTGCAAGTCCGTGACTACGCGTGTTTAGGGCAACTTCACAAGCATCGTGAAAGTACATGCGCCAAAATGTTCATGAGAGTCGCAGGCGTCATAGTTAATGACTAGACCTCGTTGAATGCTAGGACCTGAACGCCTCTCCTTTGAGACCGACTCAGCGCTAAAATCAGCCTGACTTCTGAGAACACTATTACCTGACACTCAGCGGCATCCGTGTCTTCGGTGGTGCGGGGATGGATCGAAGGGCGGCTCCAGAGGTGGGGACGGGACCAGGGACGGACTAAAGGCGCGGAACTCTATATGTGTTTGTGGAACAAAGGATGGAGTCACGAGGGGAGCGTGAAATTGAAAGGCCCCAACACGCAGAGCACGAAACGCTCGGTTACTGCCGACTATTACCATAAAACGGCTGGCTGCGTGTTGTAGCAAACTTGAACCTGCGCTATGCGTGTTCGTGACTAAGGTGTAATGCATCCATCGTTCATGGCAAGACAGCTTAATCTAAGAGATCGGGCGTGACGATAAGAATATTGTCGCATTCCATAAATAGATGCTCATTCTACCGATTCATCTGACATCTTGATATCTGCAAGAAAGGCTTCCAGCTCCCAATGTTTCGGTGTTGTGAGTTGGGAGTGCTTACACTGATTAATCGACATTCAGTATACCCGCAATTATACAGACCCTTTGGTATAATAAAAGTTGATAACTCAGCATAAGAACTTTGATCTGTTAATATCATCGGATATCGCTCATTTTGTCGGGAGGTCTCGGTACAGTGCAACTAAGCTACAATAACCACGCGAATTTCTACTTGAACTTTAGCCTTTTGAGAGGGCACTGGCGCCTCCAAGCCCGGCAGCGCGTTAAGCGGCACCTAATTTACAACATAAAAACACCTAAGATCATAGCGCTGCTGCGAGTTCAAAAGAACAAAACATGACAAAATTTGTCCGTTCTTTTACATTTGTAGTTCTCGAAAAGACGCTCATATCGTCCACAAAATCTATCTCGAGAATTTTTTTGAAAGGCCAATAGAATACGCCATCACAATTGCCAACACGTTCCCAAAACTGGTCTCACTGTTACCATCCTCCAAGGAAAATGTCCTTTGATTGCAAGAAACAATGCAGTGTGCAATGTGCACATAAATATATCAATGTGTAGGGTGCTCTTGGAAATGCTAAATATCGAACAATAACACGAATACGGTGGCCGGGGATGGGGGAGGGGCGACCCCCCCCCCCCCCCCCAACGCCAGAAAAAGCCTAGCGTTCGCCTCTCCAAACCAGGGAAAATTAGCCTTGACCGCAAGGGGCGCCACATAACAACACAAAAATTGAGCTCGAGAATAACTGTCATGGTAACTAATCAGCTGAAACAGCGCCCTCCCCATCCCCGCGTAACCCCCCCCCCCCCCCTTCCGTGAGTTCACGTGGCCATAAGCGGATATGAGATAGGCCAAAAATCAACCTTTGGGCTTGTTTGACGTAAGTAATGTAGTGCGTGGCATGTGACACGCTGTCAGCTTCACTGGTGTCAAGCATGATTTGCAGCTGCCGTTTTTCGATTTGCTAAAGGCTGTGCGACTATTTATGCGCTGCAGCCCCTCAAAGTTCGGTCCATAACTCACAGGCCATGACACCACGTCCTATTAGCCGCACACTATTTTGTCCTCGTTGTTTCCACACAGAGTGACCAAAGCTGTTAAAGGTTTAGGGGTTTGATCGATGCGCTACATCCAGATCTAACAGACTGCCAGCTATATTGTTGATTGAAAGCAATCCACATGGCCACCGTAAAGCCAGCGAGATGACAAATTCCCCAAGGTTTTGTTGGTCATTCAAGTCAGCAACGCAAGCCTGGATCTGAACACTACGACCCGAGTTCGCCTCTTGTGAGTCTCCCTTTTGAAACGGAATTACAATCGGGTACTTAAGAGGTGTCTACACACAGATGGGGTGTTCTCACGAGTGTTAAGCTGCGGTTGCTATCGAGGCCGGGCGGGGCCGAGGCGTAATTCCCGGAAATTGCCAGGAGTTAAAATACGCCCCGTGCCGCGGCAGGGCGTGGCGTGGCGACTTGACAAGATCACGCCAGATTTATGGCTGCGGATGACACGAGATTGGACAGCGAAGTGCTGTGATTTACGCTCCCCCATTCAAGCGGTCTGCATGATAAATCCCTCGCCTAATGACGAGGCACGAGCTGCAGACATCGGTCCCAGTCCACGGTGACAAATGTGATGGGCTCACCAGCACCACTGCAGGCCGGAGCTGCGAGTGGGCATCAGTCGGCGCTTATTGGCGAGAAAGCGAGCTTCTGCTGGTAGCATCATTCCCGCCCATCACGACTGCAGCATTTGGACACTTCGCAGCTGGAAAGCACCTCAAAACTACTGGACTAACCTGCAGGGAGTGGAGCACCGAGTTGGTGATGAGGTACACCTGGTAGCGCGAGTCCTTTTCCGAAGGCCGGATGAAGAAGAAGAGGTTGGTGATGCCCAGAAGTGGAAACAGAATCGCCGTCGCTTTGATGGCTTTCCTGGAAGGGTTCGCTAGGTTACTGTTCACCACCTCGGACCGGCAGAGAGTATTGATAACGTACTAGCATGCAGCAGCAGTGTAGTGTAGGGTAGGGTAGGGTATCTTCGTGTGGTGTAGCAGAAAGTCATTGAGCAGCCTCTGCAGCAACGCGTGCCTACTGTACAAAAGGCAATGTTGCTAGCCTAGCAATGCGCCGAGAGGAACATAATTGCCACGGGTGTGAACACAATTCGATTTGTTTGGAACTCAAATGTGTAACAGGTGACAGGTTATGATGAGCAAAAGGTAGCTAAGCTCCAAATTGCTGTGCTCAGTGCAAGCACAGAAACATAGCAATGGACGTGAACGACATCAAGATAATGCAAAATGCAAGGTATGCAATAACACAGAAGTTACAAAACACACAATGCACTGGCAGGTAACAGGAAAAGAAACGCGTGAGATCCCACAAAATCGGATAGATTCATAAATTCAAAGCATTGAGCATCTGAAAGTTCTTTCATCTTCGGTTGGATGACTTTGTGTCGCAGTGCCACGGACAAACGTTGAACTAGCGAACTAACTGATTTATGCCTCTCGCGTGTTTGATCGCTGTTTTTTTTCGAGAAACGATCATGCTACTTCTTATGCACTATTGTTTTGTTGGTTGGACATGACACGTTTGTGTGTGGTGTCAGAATGAATGTTGACACGCTTCCTTTTTAAATCACCTTATCCTCGAAGCATTCGCAAAATCTTTAGTAGCGGACATCTGTTCGCACGTTTCATTTCCGTACGTTTCTGTTAGTACGTTTCATTTCCGTACGTTTCTGTTCGTACGTTTCATTTCAGCGGACATCTGTTCGTACGTTTCATTCCAGACGTCTCATGCCGGGTGAGCCGCAGTCGCAGCCGCTACAGGCCACAGCTGTCCGATACTTCCGAGAGCCAAATCATAGCACCCGGTCAACGTCAGTGTGTGAACGCAGTCGTAATGCACTAATGTACAAGTAAAGTAAGACAGCGCCGACAATCCACTTGCGCATTGGAATGCTCTTTTTTCCAAACGACACATCCATCCCATGGTAAGTTCATAAATGCAAATGGAATGGTTCGTAGCATGTCCGATATCAACGGTTTTTCCTCTACTTCCGAGTCTCGCGTGCGGTGTTGCTATTGCTATTGCTAACGTTGCAAGTATCAAGCGAAACAACAGCAGACGTGAAACAAGGAGACGATACGTGAAACGGTTGGATCCAATCGTTTCCGGCTGGATCCGTATCCACACGAAAGTCGTAAAATAGCCTAAGCGTTAGATCGCCGGCGGCCATTTGCCACCATCACAGGAGCTGTTCGGCCAGCGATTGCCGCTGCCCCGTCCGGCACTGATATGTCGGTGTTGTAAGGAAGGATGACCAGTTGAGTCCGAGTCGCTCATTGCGTCAGTATGACCTGGGTCGTTCCAGGGCCGTGTAGGTTGGAAACAGAATCATGGAACAAATTGGTCGGGTGGGACGATTTTCTTGGTGTGGAGGATGTGCTCTAAATGGTGCTTGATGTCAAAAGAAACTGGACAGATTGGCGCGTGGCTGAACCTGCCTACGAATATCGCCTTCATGCATGGGTGCGCCAGCTGCGCTGACAGCGGGAGACGGGTCGGCCAGCTCCTGCAGCAGCATCCGGAGGGGGGGGAGGGGGGGGGGGGAGCCGCGCACAAGTCAAGGAGAAGATGGGTTGCATCAGACGATGGCGTTGCATTTAACGTGGAGCGATGATAGTAAGACAGATCACTTAGGATCACAGAGCCACGATCTTTCAGTGGGTGTTTGGAATTCATCGCAAGCGCACCTTCTGCCTCTACCTAACCTCTGTCCAACCGAACCACGTCAGGTCATGTTGTAGTAAGACAGGTCACTTAGGATCACAGAACCACGATATTTCAGTGGGTATTTGGAACTTATAGCAAGCGAACCTGATACAATACAAGATAATGCACGTTTAGTTTGAGTGCGAAGTGCTAGAACTGGCATTGCAAGACCATCTCGGCTAACGCTAGGTGCAAAATACATTTTCTGATGGTACGATGCGGGTGTGGGCGTGAATAGCAGAGAACATCGCCAATGTACATCATGAATGCGTAGTAACAGCCGATGCGTAATTCTTCATCCAACAGAATCCCCAGATAGCTATTCCTGCTCACTTTCATCATCGCTCCCATTAGACAAACAACTTTGTTTTTACCATTACTACCACCGTTATTGCGACCGCTTTCGGGACAAAGGGAAGCATGCGCGTGGAAAGGGAAAAGATGCTCGCCATTCAGCAGCGTTGGGTAAACGTTTAAGAGCCAGCCAGTCTTCTCGCCCGACTGACAGACAAAAGTCAGGTGGCAGCTAACGGTAGGTATTGTCCTGGCCCAGGGCGGGACAATACCTACAATGCCATAGCATTGTATGGCGCTAACGCCATCCTGTGCGCCCAAAATGACGGAAGCAAAATAATCCCGTGGCTCTCAACGGCACAAGTTGGATGTCGTGCTCGGGCACGCGTGACTTACTTTCACAGATGTACTTCAAACCATCTACACAGGGAGTTTTCTGATCAGAAGACCCCCATACCAGCCAGTCGAACCATTCGAGGAAATTTCCGGAAAAAAGCATATGCTCTATTTCTATGTAACGTTTGAAGCGAACTGGTGCATTGTGTACACCTAGAAGAGAGAGAAAAAGAGTTTTAGCCTGAGAGAGATCGGTAATGGTGATGGGACAGTATGATTCGGTGTGCTGTGGATGGGCTAGCCGATCTCATTGGCTGTCTTTTCGGTATATGAAATGCTTATGGGAAAAATTGACATGCATGGACGCATCTACGTTAATGCCAAATATACCGTCCGCAGGTGCAAAAGCAATCAGTCTCAGAAAGACGTAGTTATCGCAAAGAACCGTTTCACCGATTGACACTAGCGGCTTCCGAAAGGGCCTCCCCGTTGGTATCGTAGATATTGCGAATAAACTCATTTGCATTTATGAACTTTACCAAGTGCTGGGTGAGTCGTGTTGCGAAGAGAGAGAGAGAGAGAAAACAGCATGCTTGGTGAAAGCATGCGAGCATAATGAAAGCATGCATTTCAATAGCGCATGGTACGCATAAATAACAATAATCCTTTCCAAATACTGTCAGTGAAGTGGTATTAACTACGACAGATGTACATTTTGAGCTCAATGCTAGGGCCATACCTTTGGAGTGGGTTTTAGCTACAGAAAAGGCGTGGATGCTCCTGACCGCAGACTACAATGAAGGACAGCTCCACATCTTTCTCCTTCAAAGGATTTGGATTTCGTTGAGAGCGGAAACGGTGCGGTGCAACAGCAGAAAGATTGGATTATGCTGGGAGCTGTCGCTAAACGTGTAAGGTTCCGACCGAAAGTTCTGAAACTGCTCGTCTCCCCGGCTATTGCTTAAGAACACCGCTGGGACCGTGCCTCCTGTGGTGGAAAAGCACCTAAGCAGCGTCCTGGCCATCGATTTCCTATGGCAATGCTCCTTCGGGGATAATGGGCTTGCAGAACAGAGTATCCCATCACTTCATGCAAACATGAACAGACGGCAAGATAAATGTGGTACCTGGAATAGCTACCTTTGAAACAGAAACTGGGCCAGGTGGTAAACATTGCTTAAAGGAAGGGTTCTGCATTTGTGTGGGGATTTTGAACTGATGAAGCCATCTTGAAGATCATTTGGTGTAACTCACATCCTGCCTTTCTTAAGACCTACACCACTCTTGTTACTGTGCTACACACCTGCGAGGATGTACAGACTATTTCGTGCAGACTTTTTCAAGTTCACCCAGCAATCCATGACGTCATAACAACGTAATTGTAACAATGCCATCTCATCCGCTATGCGGCGTTCGGGGCCATTTATGATATAACTTCCAGTCGTTAACATCTGGCGTTCGTGACCACAATCTCCAGACATAACAGCCGTCAATTGGCTCTCAATTAATGTTGTGCAAGGCACGATGACCAAATCCAACAACGACACATTGAGGAGCACATCTACTAGAGAAGCTGTGTTGTCTACAGCAATTTTTCCACTTTGAAGTGTACCAATAGATATAAGTAAGCTTATTTCATCTTATGTGATGCTTCCTTCAATATATTCAAATGTGGGACAATCTCTACTATCATATGACAAATCGGTGCACCAGACAAAGACTTTACAGTAAGACTTCCATGCCCATAACCGTCCTGCGTCCGCACATTTCTACCCGCTGCCACTTTCGCTCGTTATCACCTCCAAGACGTCACCACCTCTTCGCCACACCGTTCGGCATCTCTCCCATGGCTCCGCTTTATGTGCACTGATGCTCTATAAAGCTTTTGCAATATTTATGCACGCGCGTTTACTGCTTCTGATCTCCTATCATTTCAGTGCGGTTAGATCAAAAGGAACTGTGGCCAATAAGCGCTGTAACATTTGGCTTGCAGCTTTCGAAACATAACGTGGGTTGAACAGATGGTTTCTGAAACTGTCCAATAATGGGTGCTTGCGTGCTAACGAATGTTTACTAGCGCCCACTTGGTTACCAGCACCAAATCGTTGCTGGATACAGGTCACATGGTCGGTGCCTGCATCTGGCTGAAAATGTTGGAATGTGCGCCTGGAGTCGCGTGTCACGCACGATGACACGTGTCCCGTAGGATGACATGTGTCGCGCACGACAGGTATGCGTCACGCGCGGCAGGTACATGTCACGCACGACAGGCAGTCCAGTCAGCATCAGCTTATACCACAACATGCAGACTGAACGGTCATGCTCACCGTGCAGATATAAATAACATCGCTCTTTTCATCACTTTTCGATTGCTTTTAACGTGATGATGAAATTGCAAACACGTAGCCAATGAGAGGCCTCCGCTTATTCAGGCTTAAGCCGGTGGAGTGCTTCCTTCACGACTTACACAACCATGACACAAAAACCTCTTTGTCCACGAGATTCAGCTAGCGCGCTCTCGG